GAGGTGGGAAGGGTCATGTTTACCAAAAGTCTTATATGGGAATAGCTTTCGTCGTTGAATTCGATGTGAGCACTACAGTTTGTTCTTTCGTGTCTTTCCGGGGAGAGATTGTGTGCAGTGACACCTGTCATGATTCTAGTGCTTAGAGGGACTGACACTACATTATCACAAACAAAGTCTCTAGTCGCTTACATAACAGTTGATCACAACTCCTGGGTAGGACAAACCTTATGTATACCTTGCATCGTAGCGTCCACTATGGCTGCTTCGAAGGTATCTCATGCAACATGAAGAATGTCGTTCCCGCCATCACGTCTGTGGTGACGCTTTGGGAAACCTTACGAAGACCGCAATTACATCGCTTGAATCTGCCATACCGGATTGTTGTGACCCATGAAATTGGTTAGAAGAACGGTCGGCAGCAGGTATTCTTGCACTCCGTCCAGCGTGTAGGCATCTTATCTGTACCCCACAGATGAGGTTCAGAGCCAATATAAACAACGCATCAGAGCGTATACACAGTAGAGAACGATCTCCGATGAGATTATCGCATTGTCTGGCTAGGCTTCGTGCTTAAATTCGCTCGAAATATTGCGTTCTAATGTGCATAAGCGTAACGATGTCGTGGTACATCTAAGATCGGTTGTGTCGGTTGAGGGGAATGTTTGTGGAGCGGTTGGAAAGCGATTGCAAACTCTGTGAAGATTGCGGGCTCTCAAGAATTTCCCAATATCTTCACCTTACTCAGGAGGACTACGAGCAGCTAGAAGAAGTCATTACGCCTCCCAAAGACTTCACGACGGTCGACGAGGTAAAGGTTGTCGGGAGTAAACGGGGAGCGCTAACCCGATGTGAGCTCCCGCACGGACTCTTGGCGGCTAATCAACCCTTCAGCGAGTTTTTGCATCCACCTCCTCCATCCTCCTCCCACCACTCCCCATCCATTGAAGGACCAATTCATCTCCAACTCATCTCCACTCCGACCGTCAATACCATCACCATGGTTGCCATCGCTCGCTCCTTCGGCGCCGCCCGCGTGGCCGCCCGTGGCTTCTCCAACGCTGGTATGTCTCGCGCCTGCCGCAGCAGCTTAAGCCATTGGGTTTGAGCTCTGCAAGCTCATCAAGCAGCCATTGACCATCATCTTGCAGCCCGCGCTCCCCAGCAGAACACCCTCGTCGCTGCCCGCAGCGCCTTCCGCAACAACGCCGCCCGCAACGTCATCCAGAAGCGTGGCATCGTCGCCGAGTCCACCGCTGCCGCCATGGTCGCTGCCGCCAAGATCCAGGGTGCCGGTCTCGCTACCATCGGTCTTGCCGGTGCCGGTGTCGGTATCGGAACGGTTTTCGGTGGTCTCATCCAGGGTGTTGCCCGCAACCCTTCCCTCAGGGGTCAGCTCTTCCAGTACGCCGTTCTCGGTTTCGCCTTCGCTGAGGCCACTGGTCTTTTCGCGCTCATGATGTCCTTCTTGCTCCTCTACGTCGCATAGATGTGTGCATTGCATGGACTGCCGGACATTTGGGGTCAACGGTATGGGGGTGCCGCAAGGTGGAAAACTTTTCTTGCGGATGGGTGTGTGCATAGGGACGACTACTACCTCTTTTCCTACTCTAGTGGCCGGTCAGATTGTGTAAAACATGTACTTTAGACGAGCAATCTGAAGAGCAAGCTACCACCACGGCTCGCTTTCCTTACCCAGGTATATGTGCGGAAGCTGTAGCTATGGTAATGACATGTGCGGATGACTGACGTTGAACTCAATGGACTCGAATGGACCCTCACAACCAATGCCGACGTTTGTCAATACCCGTGCCACGTTCCGTGATGAGCTACTGCTGTTCGAGCTGTCCGATATTGAGACTTGGTCATGCCAAGCTTTCGCTCGAGCTCACTCGCAAGCCCGTGGGTGCTCAATGCTGCCCACCCCACTACGATGTCGAAGTTCGACTTGAGCTTGTTAACTACCTAGACTGAATAGTCCATCTCATCCCGCCGCAGGTGGACAGCGCAATGCTCTACCCCAGAACCCCGCGATTTCGAGGCTGCCTCGGTACGACCCGCTACCGTGAGCGGAAGCTGGAGAACGAACGGACAGAGCTGCCCTAGCTGTTGTAATTGATTCAAGGCCTGTTGCATCCTTCACCTGGAAATATAGGAGCGCATATCGTGTGGGTGAGATGGCAACCGTATTCCCATTGTTGTTGTTGTTCGACAACCCGCGGCACGATGGAAGCCACAGACACCAGGTACGAGCCTAGCAACATTACTTCGAAGTACCGAGCTGATAGTCAATTGATAGAAAGCAGTACGCAGTCAACACGACTTGAAGCTCCCCGAGTCGAGAGCGATCCGAACCTCCGCGAACTCCGCACGTCACTACGACCCTCCCCCGATCGAAAGACGCGCGTAATACACTATCCCATATGAGAAGGACTTGTAGAGACTATGAGACTTTTTAAGGGCCGCGTCTATAGCGATCATTTAGGGCAATCGATGCTGTGGACAGCCGTGAGCAGATCAGTACGCAGCGTCGCATGGCAAAGTCCGCGCGGCGCACGTCTCTAGAGCCTCCGCGTTTGGTCCCAGATCGACGTGATACTTGCTACGGTCACAGAAAAAGCAAGAGCTGCTGCGCAAGTTGTATAGAGATACCGAGGCTGCGTTGTTTCAGATCTGCGTCTGGGTAGATGGTGAGGCTGTTTCCGAAACACGATACGTGAACACTCCAACCCGCTCCCAAAGACCGAACATCGGAAACCAAACAACCACACTCTTCCTTGCTGACTGCGGAACATGCATTGCGTACGAACACTGCAATGGAGCATCTTCTTACTCGGCTCGTACCAAGACCGTGAAACTAGGCAAGGTGGGTTTCGTGATAAGCTTCCACATCTGACGCGGCGAAGCTTAGATGTTTGGCTGTGCGGGTATCACCTCTCCGGACTGTGGTATTTAGAGCTCGATGTCTTCTTGAGTCGATTTGAGCAAATAACATCCTATCAGTACTATCATCTTGTAATATCTGTGCCGGTCACTTCTATTCAGTTTCAATCTACTCTCACTACCAATACTTTCAAACCTCCAATCAGCAAACATGCGTTACACAGCCTTTGTCGCCGTTGCTGCTTTCTCCAGCGCCGTCTTCGCTACCGGTAGGTTTTGATAAGCATGAAGAAGTATGCTTCACTGGACACACATCTAACTCCTCCCAGCTAGTCCCCAAGACGACGTTGCCTCCATCCTCGAGGCTCTCCGTACGAACAACCCCGAAGATGCCGATGCCGCCGCCTCAGCCATGAAGGTCAAGCTCCGCCGTCAGGACGACGTGAGCTCCATCCTCGCCGCACTCGAGGCCAACAACCCCGATGATGCCGCCGCAGCCAAGCAGGCCATGTCTTCCACATCCACCACCAAGCGTCAGGACGACGTGTCCCACTGCCTCGACAACCTCGCGCAGGTCGACCCCGCGGCCGCAGCAGCAGCCCGTCGCGACATTAAGAGCCGCAGCATTGACGTTCGCGACATGGAGAAGCGTCAAGACGACGTTGCGTCCATCCTTGCTGCCCTCGCGCAGAACAACCCCGATGACGCCGCTGCTGCTCAGAACGCTGCTCCCACCGGTGGCGCTACTCCCAAGTCTGTTACCAAGCGCCAGGACGTGTCTCACTGCCTTGATGATCTTGAGGCGGTCGACCCCCAGGCCGCCGCGGCTGCCCGTCGTGACATCGAGACCCGCGACGTCGAGAAGCGCCAGGACGATGCTGCCCACTGCCTTGACGCGCTCGCCGAGGTCGACCCTGAGGCTGCTGCTGCTGCCCGTCGCGATATTGAGAAGCGCCAGGATGATGTTGCGTCTATTCTTTCGGCGCTGGCTCAGAACAACCCTGATGATGCGAAGGCGGCGCAGACGCTCGGTAAGCGATGGGTTGCGTAGACGGGGGATGAAGGTAGTAGGGGATTGAGTTGTTCGGCTTTTGGGGCTTGGATGGGATCTAATGGCTGGGTGTATATAGTGTAGGGCTGGTTATGGATTTGTACATTATAGGGATAACTAGGGCACGGTTCTAACTAATGCACTCGTTTGGCCTGATGTATCTGTTCATATGCTTCGAAAAGTTGTTGAAGATGAACTAACTGTCTATTCTTATATTGGTACTGCGTTCTCTTGAGTGTTGTCTCCACGCCACAAAGTCGATGTTGTACCACAGTCGACCTGCCCCTCTACTACCCCGCACCACGACAAAGATACCAAATATCACCAAATCCTTTTCTTTATGCCTACGGCACGGCTCCTGTGCTGTGTCCTCGGCAATATAGATGTTGTATCTCCAAAATTTGTCCAGTTTCTCCATCAGACACGATGGCCGAGTGGTCTAAGGCGGTAGATTTAAGCCCTGCTTGGATCTCTACTACAGAAATGTGCGTGGGTTCGAACCCCACTCGTGTCAAGCTACTTGTTTTGCTCTTTTTGCCTTCTCTTTGCGTTCGAAAATGGGGTGGGAATATCTTTTTGGCGGTGTTGGGGTGAAATAGTAGCCACGAGGGCCTGGAGCAATGGCGGGGGTAGTTCCGGAGGCAAATTTTTGCGAGAAGACAGAACTTTGCTTTTTGTATTTGGTTTTGCATCGGGGATATTTGGTCAAACTATCTTTTTGGCGGTAGGCACAAAGAACATCGCCGTTCAACTTTAGCGATCAACAGGCGTAGCCTGCCAAGCCAGCTCGTATTCCCATTCCATTTACAGTTGCTGTGTGCTTTAGGGGGGATAGTTGTACGATAGTCTGGCGCTGAGGACAAAATATATGTCCAGAAGTGGCTCATAAAAGGGTAGAAGCAAATACGTAAGTTGACGAAGTATCAGAGCAGGTGAAGGGGACATATTGCCCTATGATGCGTTATAGCTATGTAAAATTACCGCCTGGAGTAGTACATATCTGCGGCGAGAACAACAGTAGGCCGAATGCATGCTCCTGGTAGATACATCGCAATCTATTCGAGCCTTATTCCGTATCTTCATCTCTCTCCTGTAGTTCCTCTTTCCTCTTCCGTCGCCTACAGCCTTCCTCCTCAATCAATTCCATCAGCCTCCGTGGCAGGCCTGCATGTGGGCTCCCGTCTCCCAGTATCCCCGCGCTGGTGGCTAGGAATCTATCCTTGAAGAACCACCAGAGCGCTCCGTCAGCAGTCGCAGTGCCGTCCGGTCGTGGGTAGAAAGGGTCATTCCTCATAAACGCAGCGCACGCCTGCTTCAAACCAGCTTCGTCCATGGACATGTGCCGCACACAGTCAAAGTCGAGAATCCACATGACGTGTTCGCCGAGATAGTGTGACGGGAATGATGTTCGCGTTGATGAGGCTCGCGTTGATGAGGCTCGCGGAGGTGCAAGTACGAATTCGACGTCATTGGCATCGACTTCGGCGCCCCAATGCATCATGGCAAGTGCGTCTGCCATAGTTTGCGCGTAGGCGACGTAATCGAGGCCGAGGTCTTCCATCTGGTTGATGTGTAATGGAACGTTCCTGAGACTGAACCGTTGGAAGCGCGATGTATTTGCTTCGCGTTCCCGTCGTCGCCCTAGGTAGGGACGGATAAGACAACAGTCGTCGTCGTCATTCCCTTTCACAAAGGCCGAAAGTGAAGGATTACCCGCGCAGAATAGGTCCACAAGCTTGTCGCTGATAGATCGAGGCATCTTGGGAATTCGTTCCGATATGAGCGCTCTACACTCTGTGAAGCCCGCAGGGAAGCGGTGGAGATTTTCAACCCACCACATATTGTTCGAGTATATCAACGACTGACACTGTGGTATGGCCAGAGGCATTGAAGGACGATGCTGGTTTGCGCTCCGAATGATTTGCAGATGCATGTTGTAGTCGTTGGTGACAGATCGTCCGGGTCCTCCGTCTTCACGTTTGATGGCATGATTGGTGCCATCTTCAGCAGCCCAGACGCTGCCGCAAAATCCCTTGCCGATGCAACGGTAGGGGTTGTTGGCGTTTAACATGATAAAGGTATTCCAGGATTAGTGTTGGTATCGGTCTGATCGAGTGTAAGAGTTATTCTATGATGTAGTTTAGCATTTAGCCTTGGAATAGATGCGGTGAAATATTTAATGGCGAGGAATATTAAGCACGTTTGACTCAGACCAGTACCATGGTTGGGAAAAGTTGCATCCACACACGACCTTGCCTTGTAATACCTAGAACGACAACTTCCCCGCCAATTGCATAGCCTGGAAAATGTGTTTCAGGCAAATTGTACATCGACCACAAGGCCGTGGAAGTGAGTCTCAGGGTGTGGCAGTGCCGTTGGCGTTGTTGCCTAACGGGACCACCGTGCCGTACAGCAGGTGGCCTGAGCTTGGTATGCAATCAGCATATAACAACAACAGACACCACAGTCTCGTTTAGAGTCTGCATCGACTTCAAAGAAGTCCATCTTGCCATCTTTGAACCACGTATCCACCAACCAGATCATGGGTCAAGAACAGTCTCAGCCGTCCGCATCGCAGCGACCTCCAGAGCCGCAGCTTAGCGAGGAAGAGCGCGCACAGCTCCAAGCTGAGGTATGGTCTTAGTGTTCGACCATATTTGCAATGCTGACAAGCCCAAAGATGCGCGCAAACCAGCAGGCGGCCCTTGACAAGCGTCTTAACCAGCCAAGGAAGTCGTCGCCCGCAGGCGCTCAGTCGACAAGGAAGCCAACTGCCCTGGAGGAAGCAAGCAGGGAGAACATCGGGTGGCGCAACGCCGACGCGCAGGCGGAGTTCAGGAACTGGAACTGATGTTGTGTCTTGTAGCTGAGCCGGCGCGAGATGGGTTAATCTGGATTTGAAGGCGTTCAGACGTTCCACGAACAGGGATGGGGTTTGTCTCTCGGAGTCCGGCGTAGTGGAGTCTACAACCGATATTTGACAACGTCATTGTCTTCTCATTTTCAATTCTCGCGCGTCTTGATTCGGTGATGGAAGGCATAAAGCAGGTGTTTGGTGCTGTGCCTCAGCAAGCTGAAATGAAAGCAAGGGGCCAACGGACATCCGCGGGGAAATGCCCACGCCAGTCGCTCGCTAGCGGCTTACATAACCGAAGATCTTCCGCCGCCCAGCCCAAATCACCTGCATCGTACATCTCAATCGCACTCATATACCCATCTCGCTGTCGCCACTATGCCGGAACAGCGCGTCGCAAAGCGCAAGACTCACACCAAGTCGCGAAAAGGATGCTTCCAATGCAAGCAGAGACATACTAAAGTAGGTGCTCACCTTCGATCCAGCTTCCGTCTTCTCCAGCCAATCACCGTGTGCTGTGCGATTTTCTGTACCTACCCGGCAAATAGTGCTCGAGTGCTATACACATCCGAAGCTATGGCTCTTCTGCAGTGATCCGTGTCGTCGCTTACCATGTCGTACAGTGCAATGAAGCGCGCCCGCGCTGTGGGAACTGTGTTCGCCTGGATATCCACTGCCATTTCCCAGCAATACCGGATAGCTACTCGGGCTCCCCACAACACAGTCCAGGCGTTTCTTCACCGTTTGTGGATACACACCATGCTGAAAGCCCCGAAGCAAGTCCCGCAAGTTCCGAGCTTCCGCTCGCAGACCTCCGTTTGCTGCATCATTGGACAAAGGCGTGCGCCAAGTCCTTGCATCCAAATCCTGCAACTAGAAGTGTCGTCTGGCAGGTAAGGCTCGTCCACTCCGATAGACTATGTGGAATTGTTGAACTGACCGTGTCGCTCTGTAGAACGAGTTCATTGAACTAGGCTTCGACTATCCTTTCCTTCTTCGTGGTTTTCTCGCCCTTTCGGCAGTACATCAAGCATCCTTGCTTCCGCCCAACGAGCGGCAGAGCCTTTTACTCCAGGCAGATTCCCACATCAGTCGAGCCTTGGACACTTACCGAAAGAATTTGGAGACGCCGAACGTTGAGCTGGCCATTCCAATGTTCATGCTGTCTTCGATAATCTTGACTTACAACTTCGGTTCGGCGCAGCTTGAACGCCCCGAAGATCCCATCCGCGCTCTCCACCACTGCTTCATGTTATTGCAAGGCATCAAGGTTGTGGTGATACCTCACTGGGACCAAATCAAAGACAGCTCGGTGTTTGCTCACATGACAGATATGGCGTCTCCTGAAGCGCTAGATGCTTTGGACACGCTCGCAAGGGAGGAGAATCCTCAAGAGATTCTTCGACTGAAGGAACTTACGGAACTCCTACTAGACAGTCAGGATAAGGAGGCCTGCGCTACAGCTATCGACGCACTCAACGCGACCTGGCTCCGGTTCCGGCACATATCACCCGATCGCGACGAGTACTCCCTTCTCTTTCTTTGGCCTGCGAGGTTGGAGACCCATTTCTTCGATCTCCTCGCAGCTCACAATCCTGTGACGTGCATCATCACAACCCATTTTGCAGCAATGCTGGCCCAATGTCGCCCGGTATGGTGGGTGGTAAAGTGGCCCCAATGGCTTCTTGCTGCCTGCGAACAGTTGCTAGCAGCGACACCAGATCTCTTGAAATGGCTCGACTGGCCGCAACAGATCATTCATGCTCAAGCCGGGAGCGCGACGACCACTCCGATAGCCTCGTGAGGATCTGAGTTACACCGAGTTATCCTATCGCGGGGAGTGGACCTGACCGGGTGTCCTTGTGCTCTGGCAAACCAGCTCTTGGCGCTTCCTAAAGTCGTGGGTTGTTTTGGCGAAGTCTTTTCGCAATGATCACTAATATGGGACCAAATAAATGGCGAAGCTTGCGAGAGGCTGTGCAATTCGCACAATCTCATCGAGGCACTGCAGTTGTTGATACGCCGTATTGGACGGGGTGCCGCACGATTTAACCCCCATATCGTCCCACTAGTGCGGCAGAAGCCATACGGCCGATACGGGGCCCGCAAAAAAACGTCTCGGCTCGGCAAGCGCTCTTGGCAGCGTATTTCGGGTCACGTATTTCGTACAGCCAGAACGCAAACGCATCCTTAGCTTGACGGCTTGACCGAGGAGCGATACGCAATTGTCGTTAAAACGTTCGAGAAGCCCACTTCGAGAATGATCACACCTGCATTCGAGGACGCATTACCTGCGTTCGTTTTCAACTCAACTCAACATGTCCGACACCGAACCATACCGCCCAGCGCTTGACGACCCAACCGCCTACGTTCTATACCGATACATCCCAAACCGGATAGCGGCAATCATCTTCGTCGTCGCATTCGGTCTTACCACCTTTTTGCACATCTTCCAATTCATCAGGAGAAAGACGTGGTACTTCGCACCACTAGTGATTGGAGGTCTATGTAAGATTGCATAGCCATCCTGCTTCGCGATGGTGTTGCTGACATGATGCAGTCGAAGTTATAGGTTACATCGGACGCTACCTCTCACACGACGATGTTTGGGCACTCGGTCCCTTCATTATGCAGTCGCTGCTCATCTTACTTGCCCCGGCACTATTCGCAGCCTCCATCTATATCATACTGGGTCGGATAATCCTCTTAGTCGACGGAGAGCGCTACTCGTTAATTAGCCACAAGTGGCTTACGAAGACGTTCGTAGCAGGAGATGTGTTCAGCTTTATGTTGCAAGCCGCAGGTACGTTATCACTTTAACGCAGCTTTCGGGACTATGGCTAAATATAAGTATAGGTGGTGGCATCCAAGCAATGGGCACGCTAGACGCGCTGCATACCGGTGAAAAGATCATCATCGGTGGTCTGTTCGTCCAACTACTCTTTTTCGGCTTTTTCATCGTCGTCTCCGCGGTTTTCCACTACCGTGTCTCCCGAGACCTTCCCCTCAAGAGGCGCTACAGCCCCTTCTCGTGCTTCAAGTCTCGGCAATCTCATGAGATCGTACAAACCTGGACCACCGTATCCCGAGCGAGTCTCGACGAACTACCCTGGAAGCGCCACCTCTTCAACTTATACTTCGCAAGCGCGCTCATCATGGTTCGAAGCATCTTCCGTGTCGTGGAATACCTCGGAGGAAATGCGGGATATCTCCTCAGTCACGAAGTGTACCTGTACATCTTCGATGCTCTGCTGATGTTCTTTGTCATGGTTTCTTTCAACTGGACTCATCCAAGTCAGGTCACGGACGCACACCAGAAGAGACTGCGAAGCGGTTCGCCTATGGAGCTTCAACATTCTCGCGATATGTCAACGGGCGCGGACGAAGAGCACATGATGGGACATCGAGAGGCTAAGAACGGTGTAAGAACTGGTGGCAGGAGTGGGTCCCAACATTCAAGTAGCAGGCATAATTCTCGGCGTTGAGGCAGGAAGAGCGCATGTATAAATCATGACTTTAAGAGGAGGACTTCATCCGAATTTGAGAACAGCAGGATGGGAACTAATGACGGACCTGCAAAAAGTACGCGACAAGCTGTGCGCCAGTACGTCCCCTATGGGCAGGGACGTGGAACAGCGAGGTTTTCCAAAAGGGAAGCTTGAGCGAGATGCGTCGGTAGCAAGTGTCACATGCATGACAATGACATCATTTCATTTTGTGAGAAGGAACTTCCGACTTCACTAGGAAGTTGCATCCGATTAGATAGCATCAGTCCGTAGGGTCAATTCACCTCGGAGACATGAAAGGAACATCCGTAATTTCATCTACATGCTTAATGCAATGCAGCCGATGACTGGTTCCACCCCTTCATATTGGTATTTGTTTCCTCATCGCATTCCAGAGAAAGTGTATGTTTCCGCTATGACTGTAATTGTACCCCGACTCAACTCTGGAATGGGGTCCGTAGAACTCCATGACTCCAGTTCCTTATTTTTTTCCCAACACGTCCCAGCCCTTCTACTCAGGACGACAGTGAAGGCCGACCATCGAACTTTGTGATTACTGATAGCCCACTGGAAAGCGAAATTTCTACCCACGCAATTACAATACAGGATCCAGAAAAGTTCCGAGTGCTGAAATGCGATTCGTGGTGATGCTTTTCTGGGGCAGCATGGTGGAGCTCCGAGGTACGTCCGCCTTCGCGCCGATAGAAGACGAACTTCTTAGACAGCGAGAAAAAGGTTTTGTCGCTGAACAACAGAGTTTTGCGCGAGACTTTGTTCACAACTGTTGTTGTGGAAAGGTTTGTTGCGAAGCCAAACGGTCAGCCAATCTCTGTAAATAGATGGCTATCCGTGGGTCCCGACAGTTGGCATGTCGACCGGCGTATTCCTTCAGGTCTCGCAGTTCAGTCTGTAGCATGTGTACTTCCGCCTTCAGTATGCGATTACTGCGCTCTGAGTCCCGCGCTCTCTCCACTAGCGCTTCCTGTTCCATTTTCTGTTTGCTTCGACACTTGCTGGCGGCTTTGCGGTTCTTTTCGAGATATATAGCCCGCGCTGAGCCTGGTTCGGCGTACTCGGATCGACGCCTCTTTGTTGACGGTGTTGCTGTGGTATTTGGGGATGTTTCTTCGTCCTTAGGGTACAGGCTATCGTGTCGTCCTTTGGCGTCGTCGTCGTCGTTGTCGTCGCCTTCGTAAGATTGGGTCGCATCGGCGGGATCGAATTGAGTTTGCGATGGGGAAATAGTCGGAGTAGAAATCGAGTTTGCTGACTGATTGGAAGGAGTAAACGCTGAACCGCCCTGGGCGCCGAAAAAGGTGTTCGCAGTCGGTGCTACGTTTAAGTTAACGTTTGCGCCCGAAACAAACGCCTGCGAGTTCGTGGATTGAAACATGAGCGGCGGAAAATTGCCCATATACTGGTATCCTGCGTGTTGTGGGAATGATGGACTTGTGGGCGATGTGTGCATAAAAGATCCATAGCTACCAGGCGCTGGTGTTTCTTCTGGCTGCCCTTGATTCGGTTGGTACACTGGGTACCCTGGCTGCCCTGGTATCATTGGAGAATTGTCGTCCGACATGTAAGAATGATGTTGATTAGAAGGCGTGAGAACTAAGCTCATTGTTAACGGTATTTGCCTGTGAGGATATGTGGTTTGAAGTAACTCGCTACCACGCTTTGCCAGATTTCGTGCCGATTGTGTGTGCAATGGACCCTTTTGAAGACGACACAATGAATTGGTGAATAACGGAGATATCTGAATAGACTAGAAGTGGTGAAGCTGGACGTGTTGAGAGTGTGATGATGCAGGTAGTCTGTTTGTCATGGGAAGTGAAGATTTAAACGTCGATCCATGGTAGGCGCCATTCGCAACCGTGGAAAGCAGGATCATGGCCAACTTATCCTCCAAGCGAGAAAATCCTGGTCGGCGCGCTGAACGAACGCGTGGTACGGGTACGCAATTGCACGGTGCTGTAGATTGTCGAAGAAGCCATGACGGTGCGGAAAACATGCCCGGGGAGGATCCACGCGACATGATTGAATGAGATGCTACGCGGCGACATGTACCGCGACCACCTACGAAGCAAGCACATTGCATCCTGCTGCAGGGAAATGCGCATTGCCGCAAGCTGCGCGGCAGCTGTCAACGCGCTCTGGTAGCTGATAATGCTGGTCTGTCGGATGAGGGCAGTCGCGACGAGGTGAGACGGAGGGAACGGCACGCTCGTGATGCGGCGGGGGAAGCCGAGCCATCGGCATGACGTCGGTGAACCTCCAGAGCTGTTCATGGGGGCTCGTCCTTAACCAGCAGTAGTGGTATCCCTCGATCAGGTACGTGTGGGCCTTCTGCGCTAGTTGTCTCCTAGCCCTTCGACGTTGCACGACGTGCCGTCGCTAACGCCAGTCGCCAACCTTGGAATCGCGCTACCGCTGGCCTTCGTCACCCGCAACCCTCAGGCTGGTATTTTGCCTCAAACTCGGCTCCAAAAATAGTGGGTAGCAGGTGCTCTGAGGCTCCATTTCCTACATATCAAAACATCGTGAGCCCACTCGTTCTTCCGTCCCGGATCTGCTCAATCGCAAGCTCGTTTCTTTTGCACCTCGAGGCCCCTACCACTATGAGCATTGGCGCCGACTCAGACCCAGATCAAGAGTCCGTCCTGAACAAGAAGCTTCTCCGCGGGATTAGCTGCGTGCCATATCTGCATTTTAGTTCTCGGCGAATGCTCTGATTTAAGAGTATGGAGCTGGACTCTTCGTTGCTATGCATATTCGACGTCATTCTCTCAGGTGGTCCGATCGATGGTCTGTTCCGACATCCGATGATACTCCTCATAGGCTGTTGGGGACTGATTGCAAGCATCATGCCAGTAGATGAGTAGGTCGCGTCGCATAAGCAGAATGTCAACTCGCACTGCTGCAGCCTGTCTCCGTCGACTCTGATACCATGTCAGCCCTAAATCCAAGGAACTGGGCAAGGCTGGTGAGTAATCCACTTCCTTCCGGGACGGCTCGACAGCTAGGAATCCCAGTGATGAGCTCCTGACCCATTCACTATACGCAACTCCACCGCCCTCAAGGGAGCATCCCCCAAAGTCGCTAAATTTACTTTTTGTAGTGGCGACCCGTCGTTTCGATTCGATAAAGAAGCGATACGAGTTTCAACGGGTGTACCAAACTAGCCCTTCCTCCGCATCGCGCCCCGGATCGCCAACGATCTGCGGAGTAAATAGTGATTAGCGAGGCCGACCATTTGTGAGGCTGCAGCCGAAGATGCCGGCGCATTCGTGTATGCTCAACCTGCGAGATCCAGATTGCTTAAGTCGACGCCGAGTACAGTCTCCTAATGCACTCGCCACGACGTAATAGAGATTATCGTAGCCCTCTCGGGGATTACCCTGGTACCAGAGGCGGCTTTGTGAATGCGGCACACTACCAGCCGTAAGGAAGCCGCTCTTGATCTGGACGCATCGCCGACACTACACAGCTTGAGACAGTGACATGTGACATGGGTGTATACTTCGACCTTGGTTCATTTTTTGTTGAAATTATATACATCACCGGTATTGCTTCACGATAGGCACAAGCATCATAAGCCTCTGCAAGCAATATGTCACACCGCCTTCTCAACCTGCTCACATATCGGCTACACATGCAAGTGACTGTCAGTCTCTCTATACAGTCCATGTATGTGTGCAATCCCAGTCTACATCAATGCCAACTTGCCGACATGCCGCTCGGCCCAAAGAGTAATCCTGTATCCAACTTCCCGCTGTCCCCACATTATCTGCATGATCTCCTTTGCTTTTTGCATCAATGTGTCCCTTCAATCGGATACTGCGTCTTGAGCTATCCATTGTTTCCGGCTGATACACTATTCCCGTCGCTCAGATCCCTTGTCCGATGCCCCCCGCTTCCGAAGCACGCCTAGATGATCTAGATCCAGCTGTGCCAGCCTAGACCAACGGCAGGGGCAGAGTACTAATGTTCCGTCCAGTCTTTGGTAGTCTTATACTCACGCTAGAAATCCCATGCTTCGAATCGGACTTTGAAATCGTATATCTCCCCGAGTTGCAGTGGATGACCTCAGCATGGAAGCTCATGGAGATTGTGTCGTGCTGTACACGTAGCTTGCTTGATTCCTTCCGTCGACGCCCGGTTATCATGGCTATCTAAGACCACGTATCCGATCAGGTCATATTTTCTCGAGAGACGGTCTCGTCATCGTTGTCGTAAGTCGAATCAAACCCACGTCGGGATAAAACCCACGCCGGGATAAAACCCCCAGATTTCACGCGACCTACCTAGGTGGATACAAAATCATCGGACCACCGAACTCACTGGATAACTCTCCGATCCGATATCAGGATCATCCAGCGAAATCTACAGCCAAACTTCGTATCAGGGCTCAAGACAATCTGGGGTTCAACAGGCGTCATACCTCCAGACATCTAAGCGACCGTTGCGGGTAAACTTTCCCGGACACCCTCCCGGTTCGCCAGCGGCCGAGCGACCCACGAATCTCCGCACTTGCACCCACCCAACTACCGCCAAACATGGTAGTTGAAACGACCCTGGCGCAGGCGCGTACCTAGGTACTACAAATATACCAGCTTCGACATACGTCCAGAACCTACGGATCTAAAAAGTGCAACACAAACCGCCAGAATGCGCGTCATCGTCTTTGGTGCATCGGGTGTCCAAGGGCGTCATCAAGTCCACGCCCTCGCCCGAGCAGGCCACTCCGTCGTCGCCGTGAGCCGCAATCCGAAGCCCGTTTTGGTAGACGGGAAGGACGTGGAGACGTTTGCCGCAGACTTTACCGACCACGAAGCCATTGCAAGAGTACTCCAAGGCGCCGACAGGGTCTTTCTCAACCTCCCGAGTACCTCGTTCAACCAATCCGAGCCCATCATCGCGGCGGCCAAATACATCGGTGAAGCCGCAAAGAAGGCAAACGTCCCGTTGATTCTGTTCAACACGAGTATGCCGGTGCCGAAGGAATCTCAAGACATCGTAGCTCAAGAGGACAGAAGGGAGATGAGGAGGTTGCTGAGGGAGTCTGTACCGACCATCAGCATTGAGCCCGTGGTTTATCTCGACAATCTCCTCGAAGGCTGGGCTCTACCTCCGATCCGCGACCGCAACACCGTTGTCTACTGCCACAAGCCCGACCTGCGCGTGTCGTGGATCTGTCACCACGATGTCGCGCAGATCATGATGGCCGCTATGGAGCATCCTGAGATTGCTGGCCGCGACATTCCTATCGGCGGTGCTGAAACCGTTGTTCTTTCCCAGCTAACTGAGAAGCTATCGAGAGCCTGGGACAAGCAGCTGAGTTATGAGAATCAGACTGTTGCAGACTTTTGCGATAAGATTGGCAAGGCGATGCAGGGGCGTGATTTGGACACGGACACGATTGTTAGTCAGATGTTCAAGGCGTATACGTATTACAATGAGGCGGAAGATGAGCCGTTCAATGTTGATATGAAGCCTGTGGTGGAGGAATTGGGAGTTAAGCTGACGCCGATTGAGGAGTGGGCTAAGAGGAGGAGTCCGTGGGATGACAAGGGCTACTATTAGACGTAGAACATGGCACAATCCAACATTTGTTGATGAAGTCCTTGTCGACACGGTATCAAATAACAGACTCCAAACTCCACCCAATTCGCCCATTCCCATCCAACTACCCAAACTCAGAACATCCATCTCACCCCTCACATACCCCCCGGCGGCGCAATACCCATCATAGCACCCTCTGGGCCATCCTGCGGCATCCCAAACTTGCCAATCCCCTTCCCCCTCCTTCTCTGCACCTCAAGCGCAACTTCATTCGCCTGCTTAAGCATATCCTCACTACTGCTCTTCCCGGGCACGAAAACCAACCCCAGATCCGGCGCTGGAGTTCCCGTCCCCACGAAATTCCCCTCGGTATCCTTGGCGTAATGTGCATTGTAGTACGATCGCTTCATTTGCCGGATTATTATCGATTGACGCACTTCGCCTTGTTTGCGTGAGAACGGATTGTAGTTGTGTAGGGAGAAGGCGAGGGTGCGGGTTATCATGGGGACGGGGATTGTTTCGTCTGGGTCGCCTTCTGAGAGGGTGGTTAGGGCGCGGGCGACGGTTGTGTAGGTTGGTGGGGAGGATGAGGTGGAGGGGTAGGTTGGGGGTGTGTCGGGGGTGGAGGAGGTTGGGGCGTAGTAGTCGTTTGTTTTGGGGGTTGCTTCTGTCATGTTTGTTGGTGTTGTTGTTGGTGTGGGCTGTAGCGGAGTAGTCGTGGTGTTGTGTAGTGTGTATTCCAAGGTTTTCTTCGAGAGTTTGCTGCTTATGGACGCAGGTAAGGCGTGTCTGACAGCTATAACAACACCACCAAGCAATAGCGTCCTCGCTTGGTTATATATCCGGGCATCAATAGTAAAATCAACTTATTCCCACGATCTTTCTCACTGCCTCCAACTAGACACCTCACACTCACATGGCTGAGCAACCGAATACGAGGTAGCTACCTACATAGCCTCCCTCCAGGGCTGGTAATGGCTAGCTTCCAGCTCGGCACGAGCTTGACACCAGACGATTAGGACTCCAACCCAGTCGCATAACCTGGACGAACGACCGAGACATGCAGCAGAATCACCAAACAGGTAAACCATCCTACTACTCAGCCTATCGCAGTGCCCCGGTGGCAACTGCGTTGACGCGGGGCGTCTCAAAGCAGCTAGCGTCAGGACCCTTTTTGCAGATCGAATGATGTCATGGTGCAAAAGTTTCCCAAGCGATCGTGGCTTTGGTTGCTTGTATTGTGTAGTGTTATGCTTATCCTGTGTTTAAGAAGGCTGAGGTGACTTAGTTCAACGTGTGGTTTGTAGTTTGCCATCTCATCGTCCCCCGGAATATAAAAGTAGAATTAAGATGTCGATCGTGGAATCCGGGGTTATCGCGGCGATGATCAGACAACAAGGACCGAACGAAGAGTCATTCAACAGTTTGGAATCTCGTGCGACCGGTGAGAGTAGGTCGTAGAGCTGCGCGTCTGTGATGTTCGTTCTTTATCAGAATCGAGACTACAGGTATAGTTGACACGATAATACACAACTGTTATGTAGGTGATGTCTTGAGTTTGATCGTATCTCATTTCATTTATTCATAGCATCGCTAGTATTCTGCGATGACCTAGGCTCTTCAAACGCATATATCAGTATGCCTTTCCATCTTCCACGTGCTCAGTGCACATACTCCTCCTCATCAACATCCTTCCCGCCCTTCTCAAGCATGTGCTCAGGAAGAGGACTAGTAAACGGCTTGCGGCTCTCCCTCACAATAGCCGGGATGCTCGTACCCTCCGTAAACATCATCTCCAGCTCCTCCAGACTGCGACCCATGGTCTCCGGATAACCGAAGTAAACGACGGGCAGAATGATAGCGGAAATGATAAGGAAGACGAGGTAGTATTGCCAGCCGATAGTTTCGATGGCAACGGGCGTGACCATATTAACAACGAAATTCCAGAGCCAGTGATTAGCCGTAGAAATACCCGCCATCGGCACGCGCAGCCTCGTCGGCGCAACTTCCGTGCAGTACAAAAAGTTCGCTCCGAGGAACCCAATCGGGATGAAAAAGTTGAAGAGGAAGACAAAGAGCGCGCTGGCGATCTGGGCTGATTGGTTTGTCTTGGGGAAGCTGGATGCGACGGCAAGGGCCAACATGCAGGATGCCATGCCTGCGCCGCTGAACATGAAGAGCTTGCGGCGTCCGAAGCGGTCGATGGTGAAGAAGGCGACGAAGCAGGAGAGGAACTTCCAGGTCAGCGCGCCGCCGGAGAGGATGCGCGAGGTTTCGCTGTCGAGGCCGAGACCTTGTTGGAAGATGATCTGTTGAGATGGGTTAGAACTGGGTTTTATAGCGAGAGCGGACGTGGACTTACGGTTGAGTAGGTGGAAATGAGGTTGCTGCCGCACATCTGCTGCAGGAACTGGAGGAAGATGCAGAGTGAGAAGCGGTAGAAAAGCTTGTCTTTGCCCATAGTGAAGATGTCGCTCATCTTCGCTGCGCTGCGGCCAGTTTCCTCGAGCGCGAGTTCGATGCCGCTGATCTCAGCTGTGATCTCGGGGTCGTGCAGATCCAAACCCTTGAAGCTGGATAGACTGAGACGAGCTTCCTCAACGCGTCCCTTGTTGACTAGCCAGCGAGGTGATTCAGGGATACTGAATACGGCGGCCATGGGAATGAGGGAGATGACGGTAGGAATGGCGAGCGGGATACGCCATTGCAGAGGCAGGTTATCCTGTTCAAAGAATCCAAGGTTGATCCATGCTTCGAGGAGGTAGCCGAGGGAGATGAAGCAACCGTCGAGCACAACGTGCTTACCACGGTTGGCAGACGATGAGCATTCGGATTGCCAGACTGGGACGGTAGCGCTGAGAGCTCCGACTCCCCATCCTAGGATGAAGCGACCGACGACGAATTGCGCGAGCTGGAAGCTAGTGCATTGTAGGATCTCGCCGACGAGAGTCAGGAATGCGGCACCGAAGATGAGTTTTCGTCGTCCGAGGATGTCGCCGATCCATGAGCAAGACAGAGCACCGAAGAGAGCGCCAATGGTGAAGGTAGCGACGACAGCACCTTGCTTGGTCGAGTTGCTGCTCTTCTCCGCGCCGGTAGTATCGATGGTGTTGATCTCCGGGAAGTGGTCGTTCCAGTCACGGAGAGACAACAGACCACCCACACCAGACTGGTTGTATCCAAACAGCACAAAAGCTGGCAGAACGACGAGCAGCAGCTGTGCCGTCTGCAGAGTCTTTCCGGTGAGTCCCATGGTGAAGCTTGACGAAGGGAGGAAGATTCAGAGGGGAGAGGAGGGGACTACAGAAGGAGACGAGATGGACAGCAGCTCAGTACTTGTACTCCAGGAGCGCACCCCACAATATCCTGCAATGTGGGCACACTACTCTGGAGACAAACTCCAGTCAATGCATTATTGACGGCCTTAGTGCTCCGCCTTTTGGGGGTAAACACCCTGACCCGGAGATACAGGTATAGCCAGCCAGCGAGCTGCACCGGATGCCTCGATTTAGCACCGACCCCATACACCGCAACACTAGCAGGTAACCCTCCACAAACGGCCTCGATTTTCTTGACCGGTCTGCAGTCCGTGCTTGCGGGAATTGACTCGCAGCATGACCACGAAGCAGGGCGCGTCTGCGTCCGCGGCCATAGTTCGGCGTCGCTCGCCTCAAAGCGAGCGGCTGGGGAGGAAAAATCCTTACGCCCTTGTCGCAGCGCTATCATGACGGTTGAGCCTTCATGTGGGCCGAATTTGTACTGAGGCTCTGCGGCAGGATTTAAGCTTTTCCAAGAAGACGTTAGGTGCTTAAAAACCTTGATACGCGTGCGGCGCGATTGGTTCGCATTACGGCCTCGGTACTTGTTCTATCTCCACCATCGCCGTGCGCGCTCCGCAACGTCGGAAGATGGCAGCAGGCAGCTCGGGCGAGAGACGCAATTTGCTCGACGCGCGTGAGTAGCGCGCCGGCCCAGATTTGATGATGAAACGACAGGCGGTTAGCCAGGGAATCTGCCTGATTGCTCCACACCCGTGGGGTCGGCTAGAAGACAGCAAGAAACCGCCGGTAAGTTTGAAAGTATGTACCTGCGCATGCGGCGAGATAAGACTTCGCGCGAGACGATCGTAGCTTGTTATTGCTTGGCCAGACCTCAGTCGATGTCTGACCTGCTGATGGCTTCGCATGAATGCTCAAACTCTAGTACTGCTTGGTGCTCTTGCTAACTCTCATAAGCTGTGAAAGCCCGTCAACAGTTTCGGCGCTCTGTGTCCCCGTCTCGGTGTTCGCACTCGAGCTCGTTCCTTCAGGCTCCGCCCCACTTCGTCCCTCCGACAGTTCCGAGTCAGCGTCTGGGGTTTGACCAGCCTCCGGCTTGCCATGTCGGTCTTTGACAGCTTCGGCTGTCTGCTCGGATGTCGCTCGTCCGATCTCCGCCAGATTGGTCGGTATGATGCCATACTCGAAGCGATCGATGACAGCTCGCTCCACTGCGATTCGCGGTTCCTCCACACTAGCTTTGTAATCCTTCAACAGCGCAACAGCCCTCTCGTCGCCCTTCAAGACACACCTGTGGATCAACGTCTCCCACGTCTTCCTTCTAGGCTTCAAGGGGCCCTTTTTGCCAGCTGTCGCGCCCGTTGACCGCATCTCCTCATAGTAAAGCAGAGCATCTTCCAGGTCACCCGATTCTAGGCACACCAGGATCAGACGATCATACGTAATTCGGTCAGGTTTGAGACCCAGCTTGACCATCTCGTTCGCAAAGAACATGGCAAGCTCCTTGCGGGCGGATCTATGGCAGCCTTGAAACAGAATGTTAAACGTTTCTGTGTTCGGGCCAGCATGAGATACCGTGTGTAGGGCTTTGTAAATCTCGATGCCCTCTTCGAGGCGCTTGCTTGCGATGCTGGCTTTGATGCATGCGTTGACGGCAGCGGTGGGAACTTTGCGGCCAGAAGTCTCAAAATCTTGCAGATATCTGAAGGCCTGCATCGGTCTGCTGTCATCGTTGTGATGTTTTGCGGACAGATACCAATAGAGAGGATCACAAGTCCCAGCGTTGACCTTCAAGTTCGAATCAACCATGATGAGGATGACAGACAGAGCTGCTTGGAGATCGTTGGCGTTGAGGTATGTGGATATGAGCAGTTCATAGTGTTGCGAGGTGAACGTTGTACCCCGTTCGGTCAGGACGCGAAAGACATCGGTAGCGAGCTGGATGTCTCCGTGTCGTGAGGCGAGAGTGAGTACGTGCAGGCAGGCGCCGGTACCAGGCTTCAGGTAGCCCGGCTGAACTTGCGCGATCCATACAAGGCTCGTCTCTGCGTACTTCATGGTGTTAGCAGCTTCCCTTAAAATGCATACAGCACAGGCTCCACTTACAAGCTGCTTGTGCGCCGCGGCATCTAGCAACGCCCCCCAGAGAGCGATACTCAGCTGGACGGTACCGGTTCCGCTACTCTTGCTGTGCACGCCCTCCTTGAGACTCAGCACGTAGAATGCTTCCTCGACTTCGCCAAACTCCAGCAACATCCATATAGCCTTATCAAACAGCCAGCTCTCCACGCGTGCTTTGTTCCTGACCATCTCCTCCAGCAACTCGAGTGCGTGTTCGAAATGTCGCTCGCGTAGCATCCCGGCTATGATGAAGTTGCGCGCACGGTCGGATGGCATGAACCATCGCGACTTCATGTATTCGAGGATGTCGGTGCGGAGGAGGTAGTCCGGGTGCACTGCAAGTACCTCAAGCACGCATTCACAGCCCCGCGCATCCAGCAAGATTCTTGGCTTTCCGGTCAGAGACCCATCAGTCTCGTCCCAGAAGCCCATCTCTTCCAGCACCTTGCGGACCTTGCCCGCCGTGCCATTGACAGAGTCGACAAAGCTGTGTAATACGGCCGTGTACATCTCCCTATTCGGTAGCTCACCTCTGTCTTTGATCAACACCCTGCAGATATTCATGACTTCGTCGAAGTTCCCCTTGGCGCCCTCGGCCCGCACATGTTCGTATAGGATGTAGGTCGGGAGCTGGGCGAGCGGAGGTCTGTCTCGTGAAGTGTGCGAAGGGAGAGCGCGCGGCTTTTCTGCAAAAGACCGGAAGCCGTTCAGGGCTGCCCCGGGCTGCGAGAAGAAAGTGTCGTTTGCTGCGGAGGGTGCGCTGGAGCGGTTGTAGGTACGCAGTTGGCGGCCGCAGTGGGCTGTGGTATCTTTTCGCGATGCATTGCGTTGTAGCAGTCTAGCTCCTCCTCTTGCAATGGACGGTGTCGTTCCAGCATTCGACGGAAACCCCGGACACAGGCATCGCCACAGGCCGTCGTTCACGAAAGGGCGGGGTGGCATTGGCGTGGGTGATGTGCATTGCCAAAGTTTCAATGCGCGCAGCGTAACATGTTGCGTCCGTGCGCGCGCCTCGGTTCGTCTTACACGGCAGATTGGTAAGAGTTTATTTTCGTATTATATGCACATGAGCACTTTCCAGATGCTTTTCCTATCCCATACCAAGCCGCAAAAAGGGTATATGCGCCCAAATACCAACACGTCTCATGCAAAGCCCATGCCCTTCCGTACCGTATTATATCGAAACAGCGTCAGGCGTAGCGTTTCCTCCCATCCCTAAATACCTAATTCTGTCATAATTCGCACAGACACGTGCTCATCTCCTCACTACTTGCTCTGAAAGAAGTTCCAGTACCTGTGGATGTTAGTGATGCTCGTGTCAAGGGTAAAGTACCACATACCTTTGGTGAGATTACTTCCTGGTTCACCAAGTGCTTGCTCATGATCTTGACAACCTCCATTTGCTCCTCGTAGGTGAGTCCAGTGATGGCCGCTTCAATCACTCCACCGACTGTGGTGTGGTGCACGGCGATGAAGCTTGAGTAGTAGAAGAAAGCAATGGAACCCATGATGAACTGGCAGTCCATGCGGTCAGTCATTCCACCGTGACCGGGGATAGAGTCGCCAAAGTCCTTGATCTTGAAGGTGCGCTTCAGGCCAGAAGCGAAGAAGCCACCGAAAGGCGCGATGAGAGAAGCAAAGGTTCCGAGCATGATGACGTGGAATTGCACTGGCATGATGTTGAATGTTCGCGGAATGGGGAGACCCTCGGGAAGGAAGGGAACGGTATAGTCGCGCGCGATGAAGACCGGGTTTGGCCTGCATTCGAGGCCGGACCAGATGTTTGCGCCCAGATCGTTAACAGGGCAGATGAAGTACTTGTAGTCGCCGAGGAAGTGGACAACGAGCATACCCCAGATAACAGTGAAGAACCAGGCGCCGAGGAAGCCCTCCCATGTCTTCTTGGGCGAAATCTGGATGAGGGGTGTCCGTCCAAACGTAATACCGCAGAGGTAGGCAAAGATGTCGTTGGTAATGACCATAGACACGGGGAGAATGAACCAGATGAATCCCTCGAAGATGTTGTTGATGACAAAGTGCGCCTGTCCAACGATGAGGAAGAGGGCCATGTGCGTCCAGGCAAACTGGGTGAACTGGAACTTGTAGTGGCCCTTCTGGAGCGAGAAGACGAAGAAGACGAAGCCTGGAGAAGTTAGTTTGCGCATACATCGTGGAGGCTGGGAACATACCGATAATGTACAGCATGAAGGAGATGAACCTGTGGTGGGTAGCCAGGGGCAGCAGCAGACGGTCGACCATCAGGACGTGCTTGAAGTAGTATATGACACTCTCGCCGTAGAGGAAGTACATGGCGGTGCCGAGGAAGTACCAGTTCAGCGACTTGGTGAAGCGCAGGCTGCGGGCCTTGCTGGGCACATTTGCGATTGCGATGACCTCCTTAAAGGATATGACCTGGACTGCCGTGACGATGATGATTATGAAGAGATGACCTGCGCCGAGGGCCCAGAAGAAGCCGGCAATCATGACGAGGGTCCATGTTGTGCGCGTTATGAAGTTGGCCTTCTTCTTCTCGTACTCGGTCTGGGGGGGCTGTTCGGTGGCCTGGCGCTGTCAGCTGGGGAGACGTGGGCAGAGGACTGCCAACGTACCGGAGGGGCCGTGTCTTCTTTGATGGTCGGACTGCCCGGGTCGCTGTACTCGGACATGCTCTGCGAGGGTCTCCGCGCCCTGCCGTTGCTGGCGCTGCGGACCTGGTGGTTGAACTTGACGTCCTTTCTCGGGCGCGCCATGGTGAAGGAGGAGAGGGCGGTTGCGCCTGGTATCCTTGGGGGTATAGGGGCAGCCGGGGCGAGGCCGGAGGGGAAGGCGCGATGGGTGAGGGCGGGGTGGGTGAAGGAGGTGGTGTTGGCGGCAGGCTCGACTGGGCCAAGTAGTGAAATTGACGGACAAGTAACCACGGGCAGCTTGCGTCATGGCACCGCCGCTTAGCTTAGCGACCCTGCAGCCTGCATGTGAATTTCCCTAGCACTATAACACGCCAACGCCAACACGCCAACAACGCGTCCATGCGCCCCGCATCGCGACCGCTTTGGGACATGCTCACGCGCAGGCCCGCTGGCAGATGGACCGACAATGGCTGACGACGACTTTGACGACTTCTCCGACGATGACCTCGACGACCTCCCTGCCGACGCTCTGCAGCATCTCGAGGCGAGCGCCATCCGCGCGACACAGCACCAGCCCGACACCGAGCCAGAGTCGGACTACGGCCCCGACGATGGCGACGAGGTAGTCAATCTGGACGATGCGCATAGTCCGCCGCCTCTCTATGCGCTGGACGAGGAGGGCTACGATAGTCACATCGATGACAACATCAACGCAATTATCGAACACTGCCACTATGACCAGATGGAAGTGGAAGAGCAGCCGCGCAGGTCCCAGGCTGACCCCAATGCGCTGCTCCAACGCATCAAGAAGGTGCGACACGTCCACCTCAGTCTGTAGACGCCCCGCTGATCATCGCAGTTAGAGCAAGACAAGGCGCGCGAGAAGCGAGAAGCCGAGGAGCTGAAGGGGAAGCTGCAGACCAAGGCGGGCGAGGCCGATACCCTTCGAAGGCGCTACGATGCCGAAAATCGCAAACACGAGCGCCAGCTGGCAGACCAGCAGCAGTCGCACAGCACCGAACTGGCCAAGCTGCGTGCCGAGATGGAGAAGCTGCGGCGCGAGAAGGAGTCGGTGCAGACGGACAACATGTTCAACCAGCACGAGGCGCGAGAGTCTGTCATGGCCCGACGGCCTGGCAGAACCATGCCCTCACGACCAAAGTCAGGTGCGCAGGCAATCAGCCCAGCCGGCACACCTAAGAGGGGGCAGAAGACGAGAGGTCCGCTAGGCGATGGTTTTGACGACGACGACGTTGTCATGGCATCACCGTCAAAGAACCGCGAGAGGCAGAAGACGGCGACGCCAAAGCAAGCCGGCAAGAGGAAGCGACAGGCTATCGACCAGAGCCCCATACCCCTGCCTGCGCTGCAGCTGAGCGAACCGCGAACTCGGCCCAGAGAGGCAGAGCCAGCACCAGCCGTGGGTCCTGTCATAGACGCTGCACTCCTCGAGCACTTTCGACGCGACGACCGCCGATTCACCCTCCTGCACCGCCTGCTGTCACATCCATCGTCGAATGGCACCGACCGTGTCCTCGAAGCACTTACATCGCATGCATTTCCGTCCAAGCCATCCAAGAAGCTTTCTTCGATAGTGTATGATGCCCTGGCGAAGATCAACACATCCGATGTGCACGAGCTAGCAGTACAGATATGTCACATCTTCCTCGACTTGTGGAAGCGGTGTCAGTCCGAGAAGTACTACGCTCCGACGTCTCTGATACTCGATGCGCTGCACTTCATCCTCGCATGCGAGCCGATCGAGACCGCTGTCAAGATCACCGAGCGCGTAGTGCCGCTCATAATCGCGTTCGTCGATCTCGTGGCGGACCCTATTTCGAAAGCAGCCAAAGGGGGTGAAAAGGCCGTTGCCGATCTCTACTCCCCGAAGCAGCGAGAGATTGCATCTCACATCGATGTTGAAGACTGTCTTGAGTTGCTGTATCTGATCGCCAGCAGCTGCGTGTCCTCAATAGATTCCACAGCAATAGCTCGTCTATGGCAAGCGATTCCTTCAAGCTTCGCCATCATGCTCCTCGTCAAAGAGCAGCCACATGCCCAAATCACGCTCATGTTGCGCATCCTTGGCACCTCTGCACTGTCCACCTCAATAGGACCCATAACCTTCGCAGATTCCGCCCAAGACAACCAAGCAAGTAACGAAGACGCCCTGGTCCATCGCCTCACCAACCTCTTCACCGAGCTGCCCAAGCCCGTCCCAGATCCTTCGGCGTTTTCTGATGAAACTCCAGCTATCTCCGAAGCAGATCTCTGGGACCTTCGCCTGCTCGTCATCTCGGTCCTGACGCAGTTCTCTATACCAGAATACGGCTCTAGTCGTCTAGCCCAGAACGGCCTCTGCATCGGACGACTGATTAAATACCTCGATCACTGCGTGACGAGTTTGTATCGGCATCCCATCTCACCGACTCAAGAGCGAAAAGTCGATTCCATTAATGCCACCATGAAGTTGATTTATCACGTCGCCACGACGAATGCCGATTTCGACATCAAGAGCAAGTTGGTGAATACGCTAGGTGGTCATCATGCCTATCTCGTTGCACTGACGCGGTTGGCCTTCAGCGAGGGCTTGGTGCTAGAAGCGGGGATCGAAGATGAAGTCGTCAACATGGCGCATGACATTCTAGACGAGGGGCTGAGTATGGAAGAAGGAGACGCTTTCGGCAAGGTGTTCAGCAGTGGAAGCACTGTCTAGACATGTTCAGTGTTTTCTTAAGAAGGAGATCATCAGCGCAAGCGGCTTGGGCGATGGCTCTGGTTTCAACTTGCACATGTTCCCCGCAAGATGACCCCACTTCTGAGCTCAGGGACGATACCACTTTAATTCCGCGCTCTTCCACAATCATGTAGAACAAGATACGGATATCGGCATCTTGTATAATCGCTAGTCCGGCTCGCATTGCTATGCATTGCTATGGCTTGCGATGCTATTGCATTGGGTGGCGTCTATAGCATATCAATCACACACTCTTCTACAATCACCAACTCCCCATCTCTACACCCGTCCCCCAATCCACCCCAAAACCCTCTCCAAAACCTCCTCCCCACACTCATCATTCAACAACTCATGCCTTCCCCCTTCAACCACCTCAAACACCTTGTCCTTACTCCCTATTTCCGCTACAAACCTCTCACTCCCCCTCCAATCACAATACGCATCCTCATCCCCATGCACCACCAACGTCGCCACTGTCCACTCCCCCATCTTCGCTCTAACACTGTCTGCAACGTCTACGGCTGTGGCTGCCGTTAAGAAACATATCGGTTTCTTGGAATACAGGGGATCGGATAGGT